GGCTCACCTGCGCATTGTCCGGAATTTCCAACCCATATGCTACGGGACCCAAGGGCATCTCGGCCGGTGGGTTCATCTCGAGATGACGACGTGCGTCGAAGACGGCGCGACGTTCTATATCCCCCCGCCTGCTCTCGGGTATGCTGTCGCTGCCGCCCATGTCGGCGACGATCTTGACGTATTCCTTGATCTCGTTGTGGTCCAGTCCGACAAGGTGGTTCTCAAAGACGATCCTCTCAAACGTGACCCAGCCGCCACCCGGGCCGGGAGGGATAGGGAACAGACGGGGATTGATCGGCCCCCCCAAACGCGTCATGCACTGGATGCGCGTACGAAGCCGATCTCTGACGTCCATGAATCCCGCCACGGCGTGTTTTCCAGCCGGGTCAGGCACGGGTGACTCTCGCCAATAGCCGAGGATAACGCTCTTAGATTCGGTTGTCTTTGGCCCGCTGGATCTGCGCTGGCTCTCGCGTGAGTCGATGTCCACACCATCGTCGGCCATGCTGGTGTCCATCTTGTCTTCGCTGAGGTCGTTGTACACCGAAGCCCGTTTACGCTTTGGGTAATGCGACACGGGGTCCGCTGCTTCGGCCGTGGCATCATCCTCGGCATCGGAAACCACTCGGAGTGGCGACGGCTTGTCTCCATTGCCATGCATGCCCACGATGATCTCATCCCCGAGCAGATCCGGATTCACGCTAGAGACGGAGCTAGACTCTGACGATCGTGCTCTGTCCCCATTAGAAGCTTCATTGTGCACAGGGCTCGTCGGGTTTAATATTGGACGACTAGAAAAGGATCGGAGTTAGTGCTGCCCAAGAAGAGAGCATTCTCAAGCACAAAGCGTAATAGCTCACGGCAAGATGAAGCGAAGGGAAAAGGCAAGGTGGGTAAGTGAAGATGGGGACATACAATGATGTAGGCGGTCTCTCATCATGTTTATCGCCAGGGTTGGGCGATGCGATCATACGGTCGCTCGCAGCGACGTGTTCCATCGTAGAAGGTGAAGAGTGAGAAATGGTTAGAAACCAGACAGAGTCTCGATATCATCTGGCACAGAAGGCGAAAGAGCCTATGTGAGTTGCAGGATGATTGGAAGTTGGGAGGTTCAACCCGGTTCGCAGCTGTCCTAATATAGAGAATCTATCTAGCTCAACGGGCGAGGACGAACAATGCTGGCGTTGAACAATAAGGTAACCTTTCCGCTGTTACTTGGCCGGTGACTTTTGTCTGCGGCGCTGAATAATGGTGGCAAGAGCGACGGATTCACAGTCGACAATGGCCCACCAAGGCCGCGTTGTCTAGTAAAGACTCGCACTCGCGCGCGCTCCGCCTTGGTTGCTTGGAAACGGCGATTGCTCCTTCCTACAGTGCATGCTATTGTTCCTCGTCCGGATAGTCAGCGCAAAATAGTTCCGTAGAATAATAAAGAATCGGAGTTGAAGTCTTAGAGTTGAATGAGAAACGGATATATCCGGGAAAAGCGGGGCAGACATTCAGATCGTCTGGAATTCTGAATGCATCTCTCTAATACCTAAGTAAGTAGGTACCTTCCTCCGCCGTAGTACTTTAGTATTGATGTGTGTCAGTCGGTGTTACCTCGAATACTTCTTGGCCTGGAGAATGGCTGTTGAAAAGGTAGGTAGATGGGAATGAACAATGAGTGAATGGGAAACCAGAGAGAGAGGGAGAGAGAGATAGAGAAGAGAGAGAGAATGGATCCAAGAGTGGTGAATGGTGGTCTGAAGTAGCCTACCAAGTGCGACTACATTGTCTTGTATGAAACAGAGGAAGTCGCGTGAGTCAAGGGTCGAAACCGAAGAGCTGGCCATCTTGGTGCGACGGAAGTTGGGCTCCAGACTTAATATTGATATACATGAGATGGGAAGAGCATGAAAGAGCGCTATCAAGCGACTTACTGGCTACATGTACGTACCACTCTAAAAGGTGCCTTGGGTACGTGTTGGGGCAACTGCAAGCTTTCTACTACTTAGTGACAGGAGGAAGCGAGAGACTGGACAAGAGATTGCGGTTGACTGGGAAGGTATTGTCTGCAATCTCACGTAAGTAACTTCTTAAACCCCCGGTGGCTACCGCGTACTGCTGTGGGTAGGTGGCTAACCCCTAAGATAGGCCGAGTTGTGGTTGATAGGAAGAAGGTTGACAGAAAGGGAAGACGAGTTACAGATGTGGGACCTGTTGACAGACAATTCAAAAGGGAATGCTATAAGTATGTATGGTAAGGCCGCTGGCATGTTGTAGATGGCCATCTTGTGATAGGCCCTTGCTTGCTTGGGTGCCACTCTGGAACTCTGGCGATGGTAGGCCATAATCCCACGGCACATATCTCACAAGCATGTTATTTAGCCCTTGTTGTCGGGAACCCCAACAGGGGTATTGTTGTCTACTTTGTAAGCTTCCTTGCAATTGTGCATACTGCCCAGGGGTTGTGCCGCATAGGTACCTAGGTTGACCTAGGTCCTAGTCTACACATCTCAGCGTGTATATTTTCACCTCTCAATTTCTTCGACATTACCCACGGCAGCAGGATGAAAGCGATCGCTCGATCCCAACCACCGGACTATAGCCGGGAGTCACGCCGCATGGGTATAACCTAGATAGAATGAGAGGGTGAATCAGTGTTGAGCATCGGTCGGCCAGTCAACGATAGGATGGCCATCATACTCGCAAATATTGCATATGCATACGGTACCAGGAGAGCCTGGTAAGGTACCTTACTTAATGTCGACGGGATGGTAAATTCAATCTATTTGGAGACGTGTAATTTGTATAGGATAAGTACTGGCTTGTACCCAGCAGAGCTGTAAAGGTTAAACACCGTCGTCCTTCAGAGCCCTTCGCATCTCCGTTAGTCCAAATCCAAATATTTAGCCGGAATATGCCAACAGCTTGTGCATACTCATGATACTGCTCAACCTTCCATTCAGTCAGCAACGATGGTCATATATGGTGTACAGCTGTACATATGATTTTCCTACCCTAAAAGAAGTGGGGTTGACCCTTGGTCTTGAGTTTTGACAGGAATTCTCTAGAAAAAAGTAAGCAGGCTTAACAAACTGGGCAAGTCCAAAGGCACGAATTTTTGGGCAAGATTGCGTGTGCGCTTAAAAATTTTCGCCACGAGCTTCCTGTGGCATGCTGCTTGTTGCGGTTTGCTAGATAGTCTAGGCCGAGAGAGGTTTGCGTATCCCTTCGTGTGTATCTCAATCCCAAGTACCGGGCATGTGGACTGAACAGACTGGTGGGTGGCCCGAATGTCTACGTAGACCAGATGGCCAATTACGAGAATACGACTTGTTCCGTCAAATTGTGACACTCATCCCCTCTCGAAACAGGGAGCAGCGATTGTAGTGTAGCAGTCTTCAAATATATAAAGGGGACTATTGCATGCCAGGGCCACCCGTTAGGAGATAGTTACCACCACCAAGCCGCAACCAGGTATCAAGGGAAAAAAGAAATAAAGAGCGCCAATCCTATGGAGGAATCAATACGCTGTGCATGCAAGAGCTCCTTTCTATGTAGACTCGTTCCAGCAGGCTGCACCTTCTGGCCCTCGTCAGTAAGTAGGTACTTACCTCCTAAGGATGCATATTGACGAGATACACACTTATTATATATAGGCCAGAGGACAACCACGGACATTTCTTGTTGCTCTCTATGTTGATGTGTTCGTGTAATGGAACCATGACACCAAAGCAAGCAACCTCTGATGAACAAGAAGAGTTGATACGCCAATTGAAACTTACCTTAGTGAGGTGGTGCGCCTGGGTGGGGACAGATCGGAATGCTAACATTGGGAAATGAATTTGATCTATTTTTTTTTCTTTTAAGAAAAAAAAAAGCCTATCTGACCTAGGGTTAATAACGGGCCCCCGGAGTTCTGGAATCCCTCTCTCCTTGGGAAATGAGTGACGATCCAAGATGATTGATTACCTTACCTTGGTTACACGAGAAATTCAACCGTGCCACCCCGGGTTCTGCTTCTGGTAGGACGAGCTTGCTGCAAACACACAGGCGATAATTAACACCTATTGGTGCCGTCGTCGCGGATATGCTCATGTGCAACACTTCCATGCAAAAGGACTCCCCCAGGCAGACAGACTGGTTGACGGGGATTACCAGCCGTGTAAACCGCTCCCTTGCACTTCAGAACGGAGGCGGCATGATAGGCTCTGATACACGCGTATCTCCTTCGCCCCAAGGTGTATATTTTCCTGCATTCCAATCCGTCAGCGGCAGGAATACGAACACCGACTGATGGCTATTACACTATATGCGTTGTCTGCATAGTAATTCAGGTCGGAATCCAGAGTGAGCACAACAGTAAACTCGCTTTGAGGGAACTGTTCGAAACGATACATTCTGACATAACCCCCGAATTGTCAGTGGGCGGAACCAAACGGCATTCCTCGCACACAAATTGCGAGTACGTTGCTGACTGCTCCTAGATTCCACACTCATGTATCAAAACTGGCCGACCCCAGCATTGACAAACCTTTAGCCTTAGAGGAACCGGCGTTGGCTCTCTTATGAGGTACATAATCTGGCGTCAGCAAGTTGCTCCAGGTCTACTGTAAGTACATATATGCGACATGTTTAGCTTCTGCACTGCCCTTTCTTACAACTCTTGATACCTTACTGTCGACCCGAGAGTCATCATAATTGACGTCTTAAGCTGTGACTTTGGTATATATGCAGCAGCGAAATGCAAGGCTCTTTCTTCGGATGTCTCATCACAAGCATTCGGTCTGAGTCAGAAGAGCAAAGAGTCCCAAACGCTCGTTATACTGATCCAAGGCAGATTGATTCCACTGAAAGGTTGGAATAAGGAACCTTTGCCAAAACAAAAGAAAGTGACCTCGGGAGTGAGTTTATTGTCGCATTAGGTTAGCAATGAGAAAAGTGAGGGAGAAAAAAAGGGAACACTTAATTGACCTCTTTGACGCCATGGCAATTCAGAAAAAAGGAAAAAGGAATGCGGTGAGTGCGGATCGAACGCACGACCTTCAGATAAACCTGATTGGCTAGAAGATTGAAGTTTGAACTTCAGTCTGACGCTCTCCCAACTGAGCTATCCCCGCTATTCGATGAAGACTTCGATAATAATCAAAACCTATAATTCAGGGACAAAATGAGCCAGCCAGAGATATGTGACAGCACAATGCCTTGACCTGATTATCTAGATGACAACAGAACCATCAACTATAAACAGGATTAAAGGTCTCAAACACCATGTACTATAAGTGACACATGCCGATGTTTCAGCCGTAGGAAGCTGTACCACCAACATGGGTGCTAGCAACGCACGTCAAACAATCTCTATCTACATCCTCACTCATCTGTTCACTGTTTGGACCAAACAATGGATCATCTTATGTAGAGGCTCACATAGCAGATGCGGACTGTCAGGTCCTGGCTGGTAATAAGCCTGGTATGTTCTTGCAACTGACGAGGCATCCAGTGCAGACTTAAAGCTTCCAGTATTTGCTTGGTGATGTGGTACCGGAGATTGGTTGATCTGGACCACGTGTACTGCTGTAGACATGACGCAAATCCCGTTACAAACATTCAATGCATCCCTGGGAGGCAGAGTCTGATGAAGCTTTTACATGACACTCTTATCCCACTAAGAACGCAGGTTCGGCGGGATATATTGCCACTTAGTCATGGTCTTTTCGTTTTCTTTTCATTCTAATCTCACCCCCCTCTCCCTCTTCCTCTACCTCCTCCACCTCCTCCACGCCCCCTTCCACCGCCACGGCCACCCCTCTTCGCTTTCGGCCGCACGCTCGCGTTCTCATACAGCAGCTCCTTGCCGAACGCCATCTCCCCGAACTTCATGTAGCTGATGAGGCCACGGTCCACGACCGCTAGAATGGCCTTGCGCCACCCGTATTTGAGGCGCTTGTACACGAAGCCGGCCCCGCCGCCATTTCCCCCCCTCTCTTGCCCGTCTTGATGCGGTGGGTCCCAGGGCGTGGAGAGGAGAAGGGCGTCCAGCTGTTCCAGCGTCGGTACGCCGGAGTCGCGCGCATCCACCACGGCGATCTGGAAGTCGGGAGCTTGGGGTCTCGCCTTGGAGAAGGCCGCGGTGCTGCTCTTCCACACGTGGAAGTGGATCTTGAATGGGTCCTGAGCCTCGGGTGCTTCTGACAATAGTGTTGATATTGGGAGGGGAGCGGGCTTATGGCGTTGCACAAGGGCCAACTGCTCGAATATGGGTACGTAGGAGCGATATAGACCAGGTCTCACTAGTGGCCCATATGGCGGATGGGTGTTGTGTTGAGGAATGAAGGGGGCAGGCACGCGTTCTATTATCGAGACGAGCCACTGCCACAAGATTTGTGTGGGTTCTGGCGGTGATAGAGACGGCAAAGGTGTCGCCCGTAAGACCTTGTAACCCGTGCGCCTCAGGTTCGCGTAGACCTGGAATTTCGCAAGACTGATCTTGCCTCGTTCCCCGTCCCGCCCGATGAAGAGCGCATAAGCAGCTTGGAGACTCAGGGGGACGCCAAGTTCCCAAGGCTCCAACTGCTCCATCTCAGAGCGGGACGCTCCCGAGCCGTCATCTGCAGGGAAGATATCCTCAATTCCTCTCGCGGGCCACCATAAATCCAGTGTTCCTCTTTCTATGAGAAATAGCGCTTCCTCCGGCAGCAGCCAGGTCTTCAGCCAGCCCGGACTCGACTTCTCGGCGCTTGTGACAACTCGCCCCATCGAGGACAACATCGTGCTCTTGTCCGACTCGAGCGCAACGACGCGCTCCCTCGCGAACAGCCCCTGTCCTGAACCCCTGTTTCTCGTCGGGTAGTCGCCCATTCCCGCTTCATCCTGTTCATTCTCGAGTGGCATGCCGGCCCATCGGTCAGGGAAATACCATCCGCGCATGACGCTGCGAGGCTGGTGTTGGCGCGTGTAGCTAAGCACGTCGTGCATAGCTGTGCGGCTAGCCTCGAGGACACTCTCCTGCGCACGCGTACCGTGCGACTCGAAGTCTTTCTCTCCGCGACGAATGGCTTTGCCGGCAGCTTGAGATCTATTACCGGGGGTCGTAATGAGGGACGTGAAGAGTCGGAAATCTTGCGCCTTGTCCCCGTCACCTTCCTCAGCATCGAAGGCCTCATGGTTTCCGGCGCCGGCCGGTGATGGCCCGGGTAGTATGTCTTCGTCGTCGAAGGCCATGTTGACAGCTGGCTGGTCGATTCGGTCGTTAATCGGTTAGTTGGTATTCCGTACAGAAAACCATAGGCCGGCCGCAACAGTGAGACCTTCGGAGCAACACTGGAAAGGCGGCGGGAGTCTAGAACAGAACATGGGTTAATAAATTAATTATTTTGGGCCGATGCAACATCATCCGGCAGATTAATGTACTTGAGCGGGCCTGAGGAACCACTGAAACCGTGGTGGGGTTTGTGGATTACGTACAGCTAGCGTTGCATTAAGTACGTACTTTTCCGAAAAACACGCGTACCAAGTACTATACGGTACTATACCGTAAAATATGGCACATTTACTGTACTACAGCCTCAACCCCCTACCTTTTTGCCCTTTTCTGCATTAATTGAATCTCTAGATCTTGATCTACCTGTCTACTACTTTTTTTACACGTATTAGTCGGTGTGGTGGCCTGCACAACAGGTTTTTCGAAAAACACTTCATACAATTGACCTTTTTTGACAGCCCCTATAGCCCCATAATTCTGGCCCACTCCAAACCTGGCTTTCTAAGTGGCCACTGCACTGCCAAAGTGTTGACTCCGAAGTGGGGTGTTGCGCAGTGAGGTGTTGCCTTGTGAGGTGTTGCCTTGTAAGGTGTTGCCTTCGAAGTGAGGTGTTGCGCAGTGAGGTGTTGCGCAGTAGGGTGTGGCCTTCGAGGTGTTGCGCGGTACAGCAGTAAGGTGTGGCAGAAAGGCATATTCCGCGTTTGCCTTAAGCAGGATCAAATAGGTTAGACCCTTCTCTTTCGGGCTAGTGCACTCCACTTTACCGAGCCATGCTAAGCCTGTTTTAAATGTATTTATAGAGAAAATAAAGTATAAATTAACACTTTAAACTGAAAAAAACTTACCTTTTAAAAAAGTACTATATTATATCTATATCACACTATATAATTAAAAGTATATATTAATCAAAGTGTAACTTTATATATAGCACTATATACAGCAGTATATGCTGCTGTTTTACAGTTTACAGTATTTTACCTAGTGTTATATCTTTAGTCTAGTCTATTTATGTAACGGCCGCCCCATGTCGAGAGTGAGGATCATGATGGCCCGAGCTTCTGGATGGGACTTCATCAGAGATCTCGGCGTCAGCAGCTTGT